GATTCCCAGGAAAAACCCCCACACTAAGTGGCTATGGGAGAAGAGGTCCAAGGACCGGTCTGGAACGTCATGCATGGGGAGAAGGAACAGCTGGGGGAGAGGAAGTAAGGCAACATAGGTAGCGAGAACAGAGGGTTCAGAGGTGAAGAGGTGGGCCTGCTTCCTAGCCATGAGGCCTCAGGGCATCACACGGCCCCTTTGTGCCTCAGTTTCCCTCTCTGTAAAGAGGCAGAAGGATGCCTGCAGCCTCTTGAGACTCAGGTGAGAAAACAGGCTCTGTGTCCCTGAATACAGGGCCGGCACATGCCTCCGCCGTGTGTGGGTCCTTCCATCACTGCTCAGAACCAGCTGGGCTCGGCGCCCGGGAACTCTGGGCAGAAGGAACATGTTGTGACAGGTATGCAGGTAAAATGTAGGTGCCCTCGGGGTGGGTCTGTGCGCTTCCTTCTGCTTCCCTCCCCAAAGACCCCACCTGGATCCCAGCAGGTCTGGAGGGAGGGGGCGGGGGAGGCTGAGCCAAGCCCTCTCTGCGCCTTCTGTTTACAAAGGGGCCTCCCAGAGACCCCAGGAGCAGAGGCAGCTTGAGAAGGTGTACTTCCCAAAGCATGCTGGGAGGACAGCAGCCCCGAGCAGGGGCTCCGGGCGAGGCCTAAATGACCCAAAAGTTGCATGGCGTGACTCACTTTCCCCATCGGGCTTGAAGGCTCTGTGGCCTCCTGCTTTGCCTTATCCCAGCCTGGCCTCAACTCCCCTTGCTGGCCAGAGGATGCAGGTGCTAGAAACACTCACCCCAGGAGGGGCCCACGTCTAGCCTGGTATGTAACCTGGGGTAGGTTACTTCCTTCCTCTAGGCTTCAATTTACCTAGAATCCATAAAACGGGGTGAAGCAACCCTGCCCTATTACATCTGGGGAGGCAGCAGTGTAGAGAGGACAGAACCCCAACTTTGAACGCCAAGAGCTCTGTTCCAACCCTGACACCTCTGCTTGCTAGCAGTATCTGGGGGCCCTCCCATCTTACCACCTCCATTTCTTCAACCAGGAGATGGGGCTGTTCTACCAATGTGTAGGGTGATAGCAATAAATCAAGACAAAGTAGGTACAAATAGCTAACATGTGGTTTATTGGTCTATTGTCTCTCTCCCCCTTGAGGATGCCAGGCCCACGAGGCAAGGACCTGATCACCATCACTGATAGGCCCTGGCACCCAGGGTGGTGCTGACACTGGTGTGAGCTCCCTAAATAATCATCGATTGAGTGGAGAAGGCATAACAGGTACTCTATACAGGACAGCTCCTGAAGGAATTCTCTAATGTGTTAAGACAAAGAAGTTCACGGCTGTTGAGAAAGGAAACTCTGGGGAGCAAGAAATCATCTTCAGGATTGGCACGGCTCTGCGTCCGGACAGTGGAGGGCCCCAGGGAGCCAGTGTATCGGGACTAAGGATGGACAGACGGACGTGCCCACAAGCGCCAGGTGGGGGCTGCCAGGGCTGGGGTCGGGGTGGGGTGGGCACCTGGTGAACAGTGTCCAGGCTGGTCAAGCCCCTTTCCAAGCTGACTGTAGCCAAGGGGCAAAACAGGCCCAAGGGTCAGTGCAGCTGATCTTACAAGAGAAGTCAGAATCCAGTGGGAAACTATTGATTTTAAATGAAAAAACACGCAACAGCAAAGCAAGGCCATCTGTGAGCGGAGGGGCTCTGGGACACGGCCCGGCCCTCTCCGGCAACCTGGCAGATCGGGGGGCCAGTGCCGGACCCCTGGAGGCGTTGCTCAGTTTCAGCCCCTGCGACACAGGAGTCCACCTGGGGGAAGGCCCGCGAGCCATCCAGATCCAAGGCCAAGGTCACTTCCCGGAGCCCGTGGTTAGTGGTCTGTCCGGGCTCTGGGGTGCCCTGCTCAGGGAAGCTGGCAGCCAGCGCGCCTGGCCACGGAGAAGTCCGGGAAATATTCCTTGACCAAACGTCTTCTGGTGGAGTCTAAGCTCAGCCCTGGGCCCATCATGGAGCAGCCCGCGCGCCCCACTGCCTCAGGGGAGCAGGGATGTCCAGAGAGATGACAGGACCAGGGTTTCTGAAGACTGAAAGTGCTTTACAAATGCGAGGGGTGCTCACCCTTGCTGTCAGTATTATCAGGAGAGTTTGGCCAGAGCAGAAGAGGGGTCTGGGACCCGGAAAAGCAGAGCATTTACAAAGATGGCACAAGGAAGCGGCCGGGTGGAGCCTCGTGTGTGGAAGGGAGGTGTCCCTAGCTCCAGGAGAGACCTGGCCGTGGGCCCCAGGCGCAGGCCCACTGCATCTCCTTAGACAGGTGGCTCCGGCAGGACAGGTGCTGCCGTGGGATCTGGAAACTATATAAATAACATAAATATCTCTCATATATCTTAGCTATATAAATTATTCTCTTTTGCCCTAAAAACTACATATGTGAGGTAGACAAAAATTACCCTGTGAGTGTTTCCCTGAAGCTGTAGAATGAGGGGTCAGCTGTTGCTGGTCCTAGCGACCTTCTCAGGGCTGGGGGAGGCCTTTGGGGAACTGGAAGAGAAAAGGAACAAGGAAAGAGGAGGGAAGGAGAGGGGTGGACAGGGAAGACCCCAGAAGCCAAGGGTCCTCAGCGGCTGCACTGGGGCACTGGCCTGGGCCATCAATGTTAGGGGCCAGCCATCGCCCTGGCTGAGGTGGGGTCTGGATGGCATTGCCAGACAGGTGCCCTCTTCTGCTCCTTCTGCCTAGGATTAGCCAGGGTAGAGGCAGAGAGACTTGGGGTCTCAGAGGAGCAAGATAGATGAACCTGGCAGAGAAAGTCTCCACCTTGGGGAGGGGGGGGGAGCAGAAAGAACGAGAAAACCAGCCCTCTGTCCTTTCTGCTCTCCCTGCAGAGAGACATGGGCCATCCATGTGGGACGGCATCAGTCCAGTGAAGGGTCTCGGGTCAGCTTGGCGTCAGTTGCAGATCCTTCCAGCAGGCTCCCCGACCCACAGAGCCTGGGCAGCTCCCCTCACCCTGGGAGCTCTCGGGGAGCCCTGGAGACTTCTTCCTGGGGCCTGCAAGGGCGGTTTCTGAGCATTCGACTAGTGCTAGAGCTTCCTGCTTCAGCAGAGGGTCAGCAGCTCGGGTCAGGGAGAAAGGAAGCTGGCAGAGGGCGAGGCAGGGACAGCAGAGCGGCCGCAGCAGCCTGGAGGAGGTTGCTTCCTCCTGGCTGGCGTCGGGCCCTGCTCTGGGGAAGCACGCAGCTCCAGAAAGTGACCCCTGCAAGGTCTTGGTTCTGAACCAGAGTTGAGTGTGCCGCGAAGTGGGACCCCTCAGCCTGGCAGGTCCCGGGGTGTGTGTGAGCGGAGTGCACGTGTGCATATATGCTCTTGTGGACACACGTATGTGCCAGCTTCTCTCTCAACACAGGGCCTTGGTAGCTACACTGGGACCGCCCCCAGGATCAGAGGAAATTAGCAGAATCACTTCTACTCCAGAGGAGGGTAGGGTGGGGGAGAACCGAAGTGAAGGGCCATTAGTAAACGATGAGGCCCCCAAGAGCCAGGCTTAGCAGAGACTTCTGCACCTCTACCTCCAGCCAGGACAAAAGCCTTACGTAGGTAAGCAGACGGTAAGACTAGGGGTGAACTGGGATCACAGGCACACCCTGGCCGCTCTGGGTTACCCATGCCGGCTGTGCTGGGTCTTCCTGCGTGGTAGAGTCCAGCCCCAGGAACTTACTAAAGCAGGCTCACGGCCTGAGCTCGCCATGTCCCCACACAATGCCTGAACCCTCTTCTGGACTAGGATGGAAGCTTCCGTGCTCCAGGGAAATGCAGAGGCCCCACTGTCCCCTGGGCCGCGAGTCGCGCCATCTGAGCCCCACTGCTTCTCTGCCCCCGGCTTCCACGGGTGCTTTCCCGGCAGGGCTGGCTGGGGGTGGGTCACTCAGCTCTCTAGACAAGAACGAGGCTCTGTGCACGCACCGGCAGGCTTTAAGACCCAATTAAGGGCCCAGCACTCCAGGGCATATACCTGACTTGGGTCTACGAAGCCCGTAAAGTTTTTCTTTCTGCAAACAGCTCCTACCACGCTGGTCCTCCCACCCGGCAGAGAGGGGGGCGTGGGCCCAAGGCTCAGGGCACCCAGAGCAGAGCCCGAGGCTGGACTGCCTCGAGCCGAAGGCCTAGCGTCCAGCCGAGCCTGCTTCCCGGCACAGACGCTCACCTCCCCACATCTCGTGGTTCTAGCCCACTCACCCCAGGGACTGAGGTGGTGGGGTGTCCCCCTTCTCTGTCCTCATTCTTCTTCTTCTCCAAGACTGGGACTCCATCTTACGGGGGGGACCCAGCCCTCTCTTTGCCGGGTGTCGGGGAAGGCAGAGACGTGAGGCCGGTGGAGGGGAGGGTGCGGCTGGCGCGTGGACGCCGGGTGCACATGCGTGGTGGGTGCTGTCCGGCAGGACAGCCGGCGGCCTCCAGGCGGCCGGTGCCACAGAGGTCGGGCAGTGGCCGGCCGGCAGCTGGCACGGGCTAGTGCTTGCAGGTGTACACCAGCTCCTCCTGCAGGCACTGCTGGCATTCCACGTAGCAGCACCACTGCACCTGGCAGTGGCAGGAGAAGGCCGCCAGGCGGCTCTGGGTGTCATGGCCCCGCCCGCAGCACAGGCTGCTGCAGCTGGCCTCCCGGGAGCACACCCTGCCCGCCGTGCCCGGCGAGTACTTGCTGGGGCGACAGAAGCTGGGCGAGTCCTCCATGTAGACCAGGTCCCCGGGCCTGGGGGCGAGGCCTTTGGGGGGGCTGCCCGGCCTGGCAGGCGCCCACAGTTCCAGGCGGCCCAAGGCCTCGTTGGTGGCGCTGGACACCTTGACAGCCGAGTCATAGCGCAGCTTGAGCGCCTGGCCGGTCTCCCGGAATGGAGAAAGCTGCTTCCAGCAGGTGCGCACGGCGCAGGAGCCCGACACCCCGTGGCACTTGCACGTGGTCCGGAGGCCACTCTTCACAGCCTGCGAGGGGGCCAGAGGGACCCAGGGTCAGCGGCCAGGTCCCACGCCCCACCGGCCCCCTCAGCACCAACCCTGGTAGGGGAGTGGCCAGAGGATGGCAAAGAGACAGGGTAAGGGTCACCAGAGGGGACACGTGGGACACACGCTGGCCGGTGCCACCGACATGCAAACTAGCCAAAGACGCCCCTCCTGCTTGGGCCCGCGGGTGGGCAGCTGTGCAGGGGCACACAGAGGCGTCCGACACCCCACTCAGAGGCAACGACCCCGGAATGCAGAACTCAGCTTCCCACAGACGGGAGCGCTAGCCCCCGCCGGCCCACCCAGGAGATCCAGCGGACCTAGGTGCTTTCACCCTGCAGGCCTCCCACTCCTGTGTGACCTCCGTTAAGTCCCTTTCCCTCTCTGGGCCTCTTTTGTCTTCCCACCTATAAAACGGAGGGGGTGGGGTTGTAGCAGATCAAAGTTCCCAAACTAGTTGGCTCCCAGGACATCTAGAACATCCCTCTCTAAGCACGTTGCTGCTCACTACGGCTATACACCTTGCGCCCGCCCGCCGCCCACCCACGAGGTGGTGGGGGTGGGCCGCCATGATGCCCAGGACCCGTCACCCCCGTCCTGGTTCCTGGCAATGGCTGAGAGCAGGTGCACAAGGAAGGTGGTTGAGAGAAGGAGATTCTCCTTGGGATGGCTGTGTGTGAGCTGGGGGCGGGGCGGGGCTTCAGCCTCCTCCAGACCTGGCCCGGGGAGGGCTTGAGGCCTCCCGGGCTGTGCTCACCTTGATGCCCACGTGGGTGTTGTGGGCGTCTGCCCGGGCCCGCAGGTCTTTGCTCGCTCTCTTGGGTCCTAGGAAATTGCTCAGGAACTTGGTGCTGTACTTGAGGTTGTCTCCACACACGCCCCACTGCCAGGCCTGCCGGCTCTCCAGGCCGGGGGAGTCGTCACAGGTGCAGCGCTCCATGCGGCCAGCGCTGCAGGCCCTGGCCAGCGTGTGCGTGAGGGCAGCCGAGGACACTGCGTACAGGAAGGCCGTCTCCTTGAAACCTGTGTCCGGGCGCGGGGAGGATCGGGGAAGGGGGACGAGAGAGCCTCAGCGGCTGCCGGGGTGAACCTGGGGACAGCCCTCCTTGCTTTGCAGGTTCTGTCCATGAAGGGATGTGCGCGGAGGAGGCTGAGGGAAGGGACCGGGGGACCACGGATCTCGCCCGTGGGTCCCTCCAGGAGTGGACCGTGGTCCTCCTCATGTTCTCCTTACTCCATTCAGCCCGGGTGCAGGGGCCGGGGTTGGGGTGGGGGAAGGAAGGGCGGCCCCCTTGCCCTCCCTCTGCAGACCCGCCTCCCCAACCACCACCACCCCCCCCAGCCAGCGTCCCCCAGCCCCCTACCTCTCTTGAGCAGGCCAGTCCGCCCCTCCAGGCTGCAGTTCCAGCGCTCGAGCCGGAACTGGAACTGGCATTCGAGCAGGCCAAGGTGCACGGCGTCCCTCAGGCTCTCCGCCAGGCCGGGCTCCCTTCGGCACAGCTGCTTCTGGCGGCGGGACAGTTTCAGCAGGTCACACTGCTTCAGGTGGGCCCCGCCCTGCACCGGGGCCTCGGGGGTGTCCAGCCCTGGGAAGGGCGTCAGGACCTCCCGCCCCGTCAGCCTAGAGGGCGAGAGGAGGGAGGTGAGTGAACTTTAGGGGTCTTGTCGGGGCAGGACAGTCCTTGAGGGTGTGGGGCAGGTGAGGGGAAAAGGGCCTTCTCGGGGGCTTTATTTATTGGCCTTTAATATTTATTCATCTTGGAGCTCCATGGAGAGGTCCCCGTTTTACAGTGCAGGAAACCAAGGTGCTTACAACAGGGGTCAGTGCAGGGTCTCAGACCTGTTTCCCAAGTGTCAGAGCCTCGGCTCGCCTTACCTATTCCACAACTTGCCCAGATTGGAAAAACCAGCTGGATGCTTACTAAAATACAGAGCTCCAGGATCCACACTTGGCAACTCTGGTTCTGTTGGTCTGGAGCAGGGCCTGGGGATCTGCCTATTTCTCTGGCCAGGAAATACCATGTGTGGTTTTGGCGGCGGCTGCCTGAACCCCTCCAGCTGTGTTCCCAAGAGGACATAGGCTGAGGGCTCTGCATGCTGAGAGCGTGGCAGCCGATATCCCTGCTGGACCTGCTAGCCCTCGCTGCCCAAGCAATCCCATGCTAACCTAACTTGCCTCCATACTCCCAGATAGGTCTGCAATCATCTGGCCACTTAGGGCTAGTTACAAAGAGATGCTTGGAGATTAACTGGATAGAGGGAAGGAAAGAGAGAAGAAAGGAAGAGAGGAAGGAAGGGAGGGAGGAAGGGAGGGAAGAAAGGGTGGGAGGGAGGGAGGGAGGGGAGCAAAGGTGGAAGCAAGAGATGGTTCTCTTGGGTGTGGCTCTTGTGCCTCCTGCTCATGAGCCTGGCTGAGGCGCGCCTGTGGCGAAGCCTTGCGTGGTCAGAGAGGCCCATGTCCCATGGGGCCAAGGGGACAGTTCCCCTAGCTCAGCCACCTACCCCCAGCCAGGACATCTGGCTGGATGCCACCCCCCCCATGTCTACCCCAGGGAGGGCGGCGGTGCTGGCCAGGTCCCAAGTGCCCCCAGAAAGTGCCCGCAGATTCCAAGGCCACCGAGTGCAGCCAACCCAGTGTGGAGCATATCTCTGAAACCTCCGAGCAGAGAGAGACAGATGCTATCGGGCCTGTCCTGGCCCAGCCTGGCCCTAGGCTCCCCTCCCAGACAGGTGAGGGCAGGGACCTGTTAATGATTAATCTGGGGGCGAATGGGTAAATTTCCAGTCCACCAGGTCTACCCCAGGCCCCTCCCTGCAGCCTGGCAGGGAACCCTCAGAGCTTGACCCCACAGGCTCAGAGCAAAACCCAGTGTCAACTCCAGCCGAGGAGGCCTCACCCTAACAGGGTCCAGTTGGAGGGCAGCTCGGGGGCTCAGGGATGGAAGGGGCCACAGCCATCATGCCCCTCCAAGACCCCCGTTCTACCCTAGGGGTACCCAGTTCCTGTACCTCACAAACTGAGATGGCCATTGGAGCCACTGACTGAAGATGAGCGAACAAAGGGACTGATGGGAATTTTGGCCAGCTGGGCTATAGGACACTCAAGGCCTAGCTCAAATACTATTGTAACAATAGTAATTATTTTTATATCATCACGAATTTGTTATACTTTGTCTGTATTACATATGCTAAATATTACATGTTGCATGATTATCTACAACTTTCTGAGGGTTTCTTATTAAGACTTTTAAATTAGGCCCTCCCTGGTGATGCAAAGGATTAAGTCTCAGCACTATGAAGCTCTCCAAAGCCACTGCAGCACTCGTTTGACCCCTGGCCAGGGAGCTGACCCACGTGGCACAGCAGGCCTCTCCTGTCTCTCCACTGCTCCCCTCAGCAGTGTATTTCAGTCAATCTGCCTGCTCTGCTCCCCACTCCGTCTCTGGTGAATCCTCTCATCCCCTGCATCTCTGGTCTGTACTCCAGCTCTTGTGTGCATAAATAAATAAATATTTAATAAAAAGACTTTTAAATTACTATTGTCAACATCTGTTGGGTTGACTGCCCACCTGTTCCTTCCAGCTACATGGTCGCCAGCTGGCCCTGTGGACTATAGTATCAACATCAGGTGACCCACATCGGGCCAATCAGTCCTTTCCCTGGGAACTCGGAATTGGCATTAAGAGACCATACAGTTGCGTTCTCTCGCTTCCTCCACCGAATCACTGGACCTGTAACTCAGCATAAACAGTGCAAGCTGATCCAAAGCAAGGGAAAGAGAATGAACCCAGGCACAGAGATGAGCAGAGGTGCGAGCGGGAAGGACAGTTTGGGGAGCTCCCTGCCCCTCGTCTTTCTGCGAGGCGGCTGTGCTCCTGTCTGGGACAGTCCATACTGTAGTTCAGTGCCAAGGCTGGGAGTTGGCTGGACCAGCCCAGGGTGCCCAGCTGCCCTTGAGAGTCAGCTCAGCAAACACCCTTTCTTCTACCAACAAGCACCTGTTTAGTTTCATGTAATGGACCCTGTGATTGATGCCCGGGAGTCCAGTATAAAGTCCGTTAACTTTATTGGTGGTAATGACACTTAGTGGTGATTAATGGTCAGGAGAGGCAGCCAACCGCAGGATGCCGGCCCTCCGGTTCCTGGTCTGCCCAAGGCTGCGCTCGGGGAAGCCCCTGACACTCCGGGGGAGCCCACGGGCCTGAGAAGACCCTGGGAAGCCTTCCAGGAGTGGGGTGCCCTTTAATGTGTTGCATTGGGGCCCATAGCTCCTCTGAAGAATAGCACCCCCACATCTACAAACACCTCAGCCCACTCCCTTAAACAGTGCTGGTGAACTCCACACATGCCCATCCCATGGCGTCCATCGGGGGAGGATTCTTCCTGGGCTCAGCACAACGTAGGTGCCGCAGCTTCTAGTCTGTTCCAAGTCTGTGCACCACCGCCCCTCTCTGGCCCCTGAGAACGCTACCCGTGGGCCTCTCTGCAAAATCTCAACTGGCCCACTGGCTAGCTTAGCCCCATGGGGTAAGATGTACAACCAGAGAAGAACCAATGGATCCGGACAAAATTGGGGTTTTAATGAAGGCACATCCTGTGGTCAACTCCTGCCCCACCAGCCAAGCAGGTGAGAGAACCACAGAGCGAAGGACAGCTGGCCTGCAGGCCTGCCGGCTGCTCAGCTGGGCTGGGGCACCAGAGCCCCTCCAGGCCGCCTGTCCCAAGCGCCCTGGGCTGGCTGTGTCTGCCCCTCCTCGGTTACACCTGCTTTGGCCCACCGGTCCCCCACCTGCCTGCTTCCAGTTTCCTCCAGGCTGACTTCCAGCTCTTCTCCCCTGGAGAAAGCGTCCACCCCACATGGCGAGTGCCATTTTCTCCCTCTCTGCCTCCAGCCCGTACCCCCGCTCTCTGCACCTCAGTCCATGGCCTCAATGGTCAGGCTGGCAATAAAACCAGGAACTGCCACCCCCACACAGTGAGATGCCCCTGACTTTGACCTCAGAGCCACCCAGCTACTTCCCAGGTCACGTCATGTGCCCCAAAGTTAAGGCGCCCCTCAGGACCTCATCTCACATCTCGCTGCCCCCCAGGTGGCTGTCCGGCCAGGCCCTTCCTCCCCTCTGCCCCCCTTTCACACTAGCCAACACTCGCCCTGTCTGCAGTTTTGGTTAAAGCTACCCCATCTGGGATGACCTTGAAAGAAACAAAAGAAGGTTCTCCCAGGCTTTGGGGAAAGCCTCCCGGGAGACTGTTTAGTCCACTGTCAGCACGTCTCCAGGGATTACCAGACTCCTTAGAAGAAATAGAGCTCACCCTAGAACAAACCCCCACCAGCAGCTGGAACGTGGGGACCCTTGGGCCCTCGCCCAGGGGCTGTTCTGGCCTGGGCAGTCTTGTCCCAGGGCTGTGCTCACTCAGTGGGGACCTCAGGGTGCCCCCTTGCCCTGCGCTCATCCCGCCTAACAAAGATACCTGACGTGGGAGGACGTGAAGGAACCAGGCTGCCCATATTCAAATCCCAGCTCCATTTCTCACTAGCTGTGCAACCTGGGAAAAACATGTCTCACCTGTGAAGGGAAGCGAGAAACAGCTACCTCGCCTGGCTGCTGTGGGGGTTCTTCTGCACGGTTCTTGGGACAGTGTCTGGCACATAGTAGGCTCCAGAGAATGTGGCTGCTACGTATCTGCTATGTGCCAGCCTGTGCCAGGTGCAGGAACACACTTCTGCCCTCAAGGGGCTCGTAACCCAGAGGGAAGACGACTGGAGTCAGGCATATTCAACCCTTCTGAGGCCCAACCAGCTGGGGGAAGAGAAGAAAGCTTTGAACTAGCTCAGCTTCTCAGACAACAACCAGTAATTGCTCAGGGACCTGGATCAGATCGCCCAGCACCATCTGGTTGAGAACTTGACTACTGCCAGTCTCGGCCTGCCATCTTGGGAGGCCTGGGGGTGGGAAGGAGGCAGGAGGAACTCCCAGGGAGCACTCCCGGCTAGCTGGGGAAGAATGGCAGCTTGAGAACCGTCCTGCACCTGGGCAGCCCCAGGTGGTTCTTCCACACCCACCCCCATCCTGGTTTCTGCTCCAGAGGGTCCGGTGGTTCCAGAGGAGACTGCCCCCGGGATGTGGGTGGGTGAGCTGGTGGGTAGCACAGGACAAGGCTGGCGGCTTCCAGGGTCCCAGGTAATGCCAGAGTGTCTGGACCCTTAGCTGGAGGGGTCAGGAGCTATGCCTGGCATCAGAGCCCATGCCAACCACGGCAGCTGCCTGGGAACCAGGAAAGCCTTGCCCTGCCTGGAGCTTTGGCCTTGGCCCGCAAAGCCCTATTAGATGCTCCTGATAACAGGCTTCCGCTGAGGGGCCGTTTGCACGGTAAGCGCTCCCTTTGTGCTTTCATCTCAAGCACTGTAGTCCACCCCCCAATACATGAATCCCCTGCACAGGCCGGCCCCTCCCGGCCCACCTCCTCCCAGCAGGGAGAGACGGTGTGGGCAGTGCCTGGCTGGGAAGAGAGGGCACATACTCTGGGTAGTCCTGAGAGAAGGCGAGAGGGGCCCCTCAGCAGCCCCCAGGCTGCTCTCCCCATCTCGTGTCATGCGGGGGACCCAACACTTACAACCCT